GCATGTCGTGACGAGTATAGTGCCGCACAGGTGCTTCGAACGCGATCAGTGGGTCTATTAGTAGAATAGACTAGTCACACTTTTGGAAAATCGAATCCGTCCGAATAGAATGTCAGATTTTGCCACTTGTCTAGGGGGCAGATCAATTCAATTTCGGCTGCAATCGTGAGTGAAAATGAAAATGAAAAAGTGTGTGATTGAATAGCGAAAATTTAACTATACTGGTCATCACAAAAATCGGCCCACCTACGTTTTACAGGAAAACTCGTTTCTACTGACACAGTCATGGTGCCCCAACAATATTGGAGTTATTTGAAAGCCCAATAAATATCCTTAAAGAAAAACACATTTAATTTCTTAATAAACGATTAACATAAACGCGATATACAATAAATGTGACTTGAAAAAAGACCTTACTTTGGGCTCACCTCTGGGATCAATTAGACTAATTTTTATGGTTATAAAACCAAATAATGATCTCACGTGTCCTCTTTGACAGATGGATAGCGATTAATCCCAACTTAACAGTTTTATAGCCCTAAAAGTCGGCTCAAGCGTAACTACCTATTTTTTGAAGAAGTGACTCTGGATTCTTCTACAGACACATTTTTGGGGTAAAACCCTTTCCTTTAATGAAATGAAGTTTAGAACTAGGCTTTTAAATGGTGCCAACAATGTTCAGAACTTGGTCTCGGGATAAAGCCACCAGTCTCCCGAAAGCGTCTTAAAACTTTCGAAACCCAGGACTGGCTTATGTGGAGCTGACGTGCGACAGCCCTCTGGCTGAGCCCTTCTTGCAATAGTGCAACGATTTGTGCTGCTTCTGAAGGTGTAGAATCCCAGGTAAAGTGTCAAAATAAGCGGAGATGTGTATGGATCAACGTGTGAAAGCAAAAATCCGAAAACACTTGCTTTTATGGGGGGTAAATAGGCCGCAACTCGCGACGTATCAAACAGTTGATACATGTCTTTTTCCTTACTTCTTTACATCAGCCGGGATATCTTTTTAAACACTGGTGTGATTTAAATGAATTTGGTATCAATTTAAAGTTAAAAGTTTAATCTTTAAAATGGTGCTACTTTTTTTGTTATTAACAAATTGGTTTGTACACAAGATCGCGTGGAAACAACTTCATGTAAGTGATTCCATACTTTTGCTCGCAAGTGTAGTTTTGAAAGGCCTTAATATGGCTTTTTTGTAACTTTTTGGACTTTAAATAAAAGCCGTCATTATTGTAAGCCATTTTATTGATATTTACCTCAAAGATTAATGTATTTCATTTTATTAATAGGAAATTGTCGTTTTTTTTAATATCCGGTATCCGGCCGGATAGTGAGTTACTATCCGGTATCCGGCCGGATAGTAAATTAGGGCCGGATATCCGGCCTACCGGATAGTTGCCGGATATCCGTTTCATCTCTACTTTTAACCCTTTACAGGGCGTGACATTTTAAAAAGAAAATAAAATAACATTTGTTTTCGACTCAATGATAGGTTGTCTATGGTAGATAGAAGGTTCAATCTATGGTGTCAATAAATGGGAAGGGAACAATGAGTATAGTAAACCTAAGAAAAATTGTAAAAATAGCACAATATCATAGCATTAAAACGTAAACAGGAATGCACTATAAAAACGTAAATTACGTCCGTATTCACAAACGATGCTTACTTAAGTGAAGCAGCAAATCGAATGCACAGCGTTGAATAGTTCATGATTCACCCTGTGCATCCACGTGCACTGTGAGACCTCATATTTGTGAATATGGGCATTTCAAGCTGTACACTGTAGCATCTTATTGTAGTTGTAATAGGTCCTATATTATAACAAAAAACTATCGTCTGTTGTGCTATCTGTACTTACTAATTTGATGGCATTTTTTGTGTGGGTGGACAACAAAAATAGCGGTTTACTCAGCAGCGAAAACTGTTCAATATTTTTGCTACTGAACGGCAGTTAAGTAGAGCTTTTTTCTTATTTTGTGAAGTCTACCCACGCGTTCACAAATAAGGTACTAAAAATAGGGCTCTCTCCAAATGTAGGTGAAGTAATTGGGGTGTATTTCTTACAGGATTGTCGACCTTTGGGATAAGTAGGTTTTGGGTAGAGCCACAGAAACAATATTACTAGTGTTTCCTCAGCTGGGGCTGGACTAAACTAAACATCTTGTGAAGAGAGTGGTTATAATTTCAACTCTCTACCAGGTCTCAGGACCTAATCAGTCCATGCCCGGGTACAAAAACACGTTTGTGAAATGTATGTTTATAAAAGCGTAAGGTTACTGACTGACTGACTCACTTCTTCACAATATCTCAGAAACTACAAGTGCTAGGAGTATCAAATTTTGCACGGGGGTTCCTTTTAGAACGTAGGTGCTTACTAAGGGGGTAAAACGGGATCCACGCGTACGAAATCGTGGGCGGCTGCTAGTCTAACATAATTAAGATGATATGGTTCTACATCAAAGTTTAATTTTTTTTTTCACCCTCTAAGTTTTGAGCAACAAAAGGCATATGGAAACGTAAAAGGTAAACTTATACATATGTCTATGTCCCTAGTCTACTCGTACTATACTCGTATTGCTGTACCGAAATCCATCAAAGTTAATTCAGTGGCTCAGACATCAAAAGGCAACAAAAGGTGACTTTTGCATTAATAGTAGAGATTGTAACAAACACTACCATACTTTACTCGTGTATCATTATTGTTAAAGTATTATCGTAGTATCTTAGCTCATAGTTTTTCAAGCCCCTTTCACCAAACCAGTCCTTATCTTCAGTCCCTGCACTTGAGATAGCGTAGGTCGTCTCAAGGTTTCAAGTAGGGTCTCACCAGGTTTATAATCTCCTGCCTCCTCGACTTGTACAGATATCGAGTAGCACTTGAAAGGTGGAATGCATAGTATCTGTTTGTAACTGTTGACAGCCATCTAGGGGTAACTAAAACATACTTTCTCGGACCAGAGACGAATTTTTAGAACGCTTGAAACTTTATTTACCTGTATGCCAATTAGAATTCTATCATCATCATCTGATTAAGGGCTTTAATTGATAAAAGATGCATATTATAAAAAATTGTTTGCTTTGTTTATTTCTAGTAAGTAATGAATGAGTATGACCTAAGAGAGTGATGTCGCTCTTTGGCTCTATCAGTGTGCACTGTGCATACTAGTCAAGTAAAGAATGCAAACAACGTTTTATTAATGAAATTCGTGATTAAAGCATAAAATAAGTGGCCTACTTTAGATAAGTCTATTGCCACCCTTGAGACAAAAATGTAATAGTAAAGAAAATCTTGTATGCATGAGCCTTAAATCGATGGTAAATTAATGACTGGCGCAAATTGATTCCACATAGAAACCATAACAGTTGAAAACAAAACATTAACTTAAATAGCATCGATGATTGATTGATCTGGAATCCAAAAGAACAAAATACCAATTAAAAGTAAGCCGGTATTTTGTTCCACAACGGCAAGGGTTATGCGCGGGCGCCGGTACACTATTTACCCACACGCGATGCGTTTCGTTTCTCTAAATTTAATTTCCTATAATTCGAAGGTACATCGTTTGCCCTGCAATTAGCTGTGATGCAAATTTGAAACGCTATTATCGCGAAATTATCGGGCGCAGGAGGCCTTTAAAGTTTCTTTGTGTTTTTACACTGACTCACCGCATTGTTTCCTTGTGACTAATACAATTTACATAACATTTTACCGTCTTCTAGAAGAAGAGCCAAGAAAAAAAATGAAATTAAGGACTGTTTTATGAATATGCAGACTATTACAGACTAGCGCCATCTGTGATATAGATCATGCATTAATTAAATACGTAAGTTATTAGATCAGTGGAACACGAATAAGTTAGATTGTTACAAGGTCATCAATACATATGAGTTATTAGTTTTTTTTAATAATTTTTAGATACATACTGCTAAACGTCTCGAAGTAAACGGGGGATCCCAAAATTCCTCTGCGTCGGGGATCCAGTTTGACAGTTTTCAGAACAATAGAAAAAATAAAAAATCACTTGTTGCACTTTGGCACAAAACACTTTTCGACTGAAGCACAATGATAAATAAATAAATACAACTGTAAACCCATTGAAGTGGCCGCGAAATATTTTTCCGAAAACTCTATTGTTCCAACCGATGAGTTTCATTGAAGGCTTGATTTTAATCTGTTTAGTTTTCTGATCATGCATCGAAGGTGCCTGGCGTTCGTTCCAAATATCAACACACAACTGCGTGTGTCCCACAGTGCGTTGATAACCCGATACCAACGTGCACAGTGTTCATAAAACCACTCAGTTGGAAAACAAAGCAATGTGTTTGCGTTCTGTCTCTTTCACACTGTGAATAAATTAGGCTCGCGTGTGTGCCGTCCTTGTCGGACGTTTTTTGTGCGATCCTTAAATTGTTCGGACTCAAAATTGGCCGTGGTTAGGGGATGATGGATGCTATCCGTTTGGAAGACTTATAAGTGATATTTTAAACGTTTTGACTGGAACACGATGTTTTTAAATAATAATAACTAGACATGTAAAATAATAAAAAGTTATGTGAGTAATTATTTTGATAATTAAGTATAATTGATTTATAAATTGTGGGAACTCAATTACTGATTTAAAACTGTAAGACAATAAATTCTTTGCGTATTGTATGCGGCTTGTTGAAATACCGTGTTATCTACCCTCGACTCGAAACGATTACCTCCTGTTTGTGATTTTTATTTTTTTAACTACCTTCGTAATATCAGGTTCATGACAATAAACGCAGAGAAAAATATTAAAAGCACTTCGAAACAATGAGTCAATCGTATACCTAGTAATTACTTATAAACAACCTAAAGAGAAGTCTTTAAAGGTATTGCGGAGGCCGGATGACTATTACAATAATTGCTACTATCAACTGATTTGCATGTTACATAGTTATCTTACCATCGACGCCTTCAAAGAAACGCCGTGGGAACACCAAATACAATTTTCATATTGCATACTGACCGCAATACGTGGAACCGATGGTCGAGGCCGTGATTTGGTTAGGCAAGGCAGCCTGAGCCGTTGACCTGTCTGTGTCTGACAACCCTTGGCGGCCCATTTTCTGTGAACAATACATTGTGATTAGAACACCTGAATAACGCCATCTGTTAGCTTGAGCGTGAACTAGATCAAAGCGGTGCGTTTGTAGAGGCGGAAAGGTTCAATGTAAGGTATGTAGATGGCACTAGTGACACTTGAAACACAGTATGTCTGAAAGCTTGCGGTACCTTATTTTTCAAAATAAATTATAGATTGACCATAATTACATGATTGTAATAATAATATGGTTTCTTTTATGAGAAAATACTAAAAGTCTTCTAGACTTAGCTGACTGATAAGTATTGAACTAAAAGCTTATTGTTTCTTAAATGTAATACCTACTTTAATAGCCATTTAGTAATCTACTGCCCATTCACGTTAAACTGCCAACAAAACTAAAACTAAGTTTCTAGTTAACCATAGTTTTAATGACATAGTAGAGACAGAATATTCGTAATTTAAGAGTTAGGAAGATCATTATTCCGGCTACCCTTAGAACTGTTAACGACTGAGAACTCTACATGTTATAAGGCTAAGTTTACACAATAGTTTTCTTTACTTTTAGTAAAAAACGTTAATTTACATACGAAGATCCCCTTAAGAGATAATTCTACAAGTTTAGAAGCTTTACGTACCTATTTCACAAGCAAACGTTAGTTTTTCCTCAGTAGTTATTGCGATTTTTGCATTTTCTTAGAATGTTTAATGATTCAAATATGTGTATCCAATTATTGTCCTGAAGCAGTGGAAGGGTGGGACGTGGAAAGTGCTTTTTAAAAGCCCATTTGCAAAAAATAAATGAGTTTTTATCACTATTAATTGAAAAAAATCGATTGCCATGAGTGGGACTCGAATCCAGAACCTTCCAAACATATTCAGTGATCACGGAATGCAACAAGACAGATTACATAAAGTTCGAAGATTGGATTCTTTTGTAGAGTTAGGTACAATACATGACATGTATGTACGGGTGAAGAGATAGCACACCATTGTATTTCACCCTTAATTCAGAGTTGCATACTATAAGTATAGTATAGAAATTTTAAATAAGATGGAGCTTTTTTCCAATGCTAGCATAATATCGTCTCTACATAATGAAACGTCTTATTAAATTAAGATACAGGAACAAGAATGATTTTTTCTACTTTTTGACAATGTGACTCTGGTTTTAGCTTGAAAGCAAATCAAACCGTGTGATTTGGCCTAAATTCATCAACCAAGCCTAATACGGGAGGATAAATGTGGGTCCCTAGGGATGAAACTTTGTTCTTAACTTTGGTTTAAACACATTCATCCATTCTGGATTGGTTTATGAATAGGATACGGTGTGAAATCGTAAACTGTGGACTAGAATTCACACTTAATTTGGGTATTGTTCGGAATTAACTAGCAGGTAGTTTCATTGGTATATAAGTAGTACCTACATTTCAATGAGCTTATTATATTATAATTTATCCGAATCCTATTTTAGGTTAGAATTTGATTCTCTTCTGGAGATTCTAGACCCAATGAGCATACAAATGGATAAAATCATACCTTGCTTTCCCTAAAATAGTATAATTTTGATGTTTGAAAGTCTTGTAAAGTCTCACGTTTTAAGGCACACCGCAGACTACAGACTTTAGTCTGCCGATAATTGGATCCAATTTATTTGTATGAGGAATCGGCCGATACCAAATCGTTGTAATGTGCGCACTCTCAAAAGCGTATTTCAGGCAGCGCTCTAACACCCATAATCGCAAACATTACTATGAGGTCTCACAGTGCGCGTGGACGCACAGGGTCACACACGAACCAATGACAGAGCTCTATTCAACGCTGTGCGTTCGATTGGCTGCTTCACTTAAGCAACCCTCGTTTGCGAATACGGGCGTAAGTCTGATAGAGATAGAGTCAGAAACAGAACCATAATATACAACATGGTTCAGACTGTCACTGACTAACCTCTGACCTCTAAACCCACGTTACAGAAGAAAAAGAAAAATGATCTTATGCATAACTTTGACAAGAGTACTCTATCAAAACAACTCATGCATATATTTACTTACGTCGTTACACTCTTTGCTTCTTTGGTCTTGGCTGAGGTTTATGTTTTTAGTTTGCATTGTATATTCTACCGGCGGGTACCCTGAAACAAAGAATAAAATAATTCAATCTTCCTGTATTACCTCCTGAATTATAAGTAGCTCTGCAAAGAGGAATAAAAAGGACTCCGTGTTGCGATGTGGGTAATATGAGTGCGTGACGCAATACTACGTTAAATGTTTATTATTTCGGTGTTTTAAGCCTTTAAAAGGAAGATTTTGAGCCTTATTCGGTTGAATTAAGGTCTAAAAACATTGAAAAATTTGATTATATTATGACTATTAGAGAGTTAAAGCACTATGTTTATGGTTTTCCTCTCAAAATCGATATTATCTCGATAGGAACGAGGCAATTTTCTTCTTCATTCATACGGACACTGCAAGATAATGGAACTATCTTGATACGTATTTTCTCCCTATTTCACTTAAGTGAATAGGTATTTATTGTAAGCTTTTTCTATTTTATTCACCATCCCTTATCATACGAGAATAAGGTCAACCATTATTAGTTTAATGGCGCAGTTACACTATGCGGGAAATTGACCGAGACGAAGCGCGAGCACGCACACCGAAGATTCAAATTCAAATTATTTTATTGCATGGAAAGATTGGGCGACACTCGACGAAACTAACCGAAGTGAGTGTTTACACTATGTGTCTTGATCAATTTCCCGAATAGTGTAACTACGCCTTAAAGTTAAATATCGCACTTTAGCATTTTTAAATACTTCTATGATGATAACATCTAAACCTAATTCATGGTAATTAAGATTCTTGACGTCTGCTAGGTTAATGGTCTGTGTTCTGTGTATTAAAGTTAAAGTACCGTATTTACACGTCATTACTTAATTACTCAGTGGAGTCATTCTATTTCATACGTCCCTGTAGAAGTAAATTTTGCAGTTGGTAAGTAGGTAAGCGGTGTCTATTTTAACTTTAACGTCCTCATTCACAAACATTACTATGAGGTCTCACAGTGCGCGTGGACGCACAGGGTCACATACGGACCAATCACAGAGCTCTATTCAACGCTGTGCGTTCGATTTGCTGTTTCACTTAAGCAAGCATCGTTTGTGAATACGGGTGTGTTATTAGTCCATCTGTGTTTGCAGTAGGCAAGTTAAGCGATGACAACAACAATTCATTCCCAACCTCACAATAGAGATGCTCATAAAAATGAGATTTGTCTAAATCTCAGAAATAATTTTACGTACTCCAATCCGTTCTAGTTGAAGGCTCAATCTATCAGAGGGACGCGACGCATGAAATCCCTTTGATATACACCCTAAGGCCTGGTGAACACGATTTTTATTTGGATTTGTAGTGCTGGTACAGTCAGACTATACTTTTTGGTTGTGAAACAGTCACTATTGCAGCGAGATAAGATGCCATGTTTAGATTATGTGCTGTCGTCAATTCCTTTTGATGTTATTCTTCCAATGTTTGACAAAATAACTCATGTTTATATTATAATGTTAAAACCAAATGCTGGAGATATCTCACTTCACAATTTTGTTGAAGAATGAAAAAGATGATGTTTGCTTTGAATAGGCTTTGATGTAGGTGCCCTCGTAGGTTTACATGCAAATCTATAAAAAGACCAAGCAAGCAGGGCCGTCTTTAACCTACTAGGGGCCCTTATCATCTGGAGAAAGGTCTTTTGAGCAGACGGGGGCCACCTCGATCGCGGGGCCCTGGGCACGTGCCCAAAGTGCCCAGTGGGAAAGAGGGGCCTTCAAGCAAGCAAATAATATAAGAAAGAGGAGGGTCTTCAGAACTTAGTGATTTGCTTATAAAAACATATTGAAGGTATGTTTGATTTCAGTCAGATAGTTCTTGTATCAAAAGATTACAATCATTATAGGTTTACTTTTAACAGTTACTTTTTAGCAACACGTTAACGAGTAACGAAGGTAATTTGATGAACGGTGCCCAGCTGACAGCGGCCTAATATCGATTATCTCTTACCACCAGGTCACGGCCATGGGTATGGCGGACAGTACATCAAGCTTAACACAATGGCCTTATCTCGTTACGATACAGTCCATTTTGCAACAAAAATGTCTAGTCTGACGGAGGAATTCCTCGATGCGCAATCATTTTGAGGCGCACCTACCTAATAAAACGCATGAAAACTGCTCTTCGAATGCCATACCATATTATGTTGCCCTGGTACTTTTCATTCATCTTAGCAAACATAAAGTTTAAAATCTTTATATTACTGAACATAGGTGCGCTTCGAGCAATAGTTTAGGTGCCCTTCATTAGGTGCGCCTTAAAATTGGTGCGCTTTGGGGAATAGTTTTGGTGCGCTTCATTAGGTGCGCCTCAAAATGGGAGTGCTTCGAGAAATACCTCCCTGAAATGTTTTTCAAGCGGAGCTTATAACTTAAGTGTGAAAACAATCGCCATTACTCAGAGAAGTAAGAATAATATTCAGTTATCATTGGAACAATATTATTCCTTGTTAGTGCCGATAATATTCTAACATTAAAAGTTTTATTCAAGCAAAACTAGCACAACCACTGGAAAGCTTTTCAAACATCATTTTTCCAATTTGAACCTAAGTTATTAGATTTGACAAAGAATACTCAACTGAAATACATTGTAATTTGAGTTGATAATCGACTGCGTAATTTTGTAGTTAGGATGTTTTTGAAATTCAGATTGAACAATACTCTTCGTACAATGGAAGTTTTCTCAGTTTCAGACAGTCGGCATGAGATGTGCCTACGCAATGTAATTTCGCTTTTAAGATAAAGTAGAAAGGTAGAAATTAAAACGTAGGTATTTCAGGTAGTCTGTACTGTCTACCAGAGAACAAGCTTTCATAGTATGAAAATTCTGAAATTGAGACAAGCATTTGATTTGATTTTGTTTCAAGACTTATGTTTTAGTATAATCTCTGGTTAGAAATTCTGAAAACTAGATTTCAGTAAATCAATAGAAAAATCTAATAGAAAAGGAGGAAAATGGTTTTATTTTCGGAGCTTTCAGGCCTAAGTAAATGAAGGATAAAGATAATTATGTTTTCAATCATATTGTTTGCTATATGATTATTCTTATTATTCAGATTGTATGATGATGTCCTTGGAATCCCCAGTTTGATTCTGGTCACTGAGCCATTTGGACACTCTCGTCCTTTCCAAATTGGTGTGAAAATCGGCGTGTTTCCCATATTTATTTACAAACCATCCCATAACAGTTACACACAATAACGCCATGGGAATGGGTAATCGTAAAACGCAGGATGTGGCTGCGGCTTATGGTCCCTGGGAACCATTGGTCCAAGGATCGTCTACACAAGGGCTGGTACTTTATCATTGGAAAGATAAAAAGTCTTAAAAGTCATTTATTTTCTGCAAATAGGCTTTTAAAAAGTATTAATACTTTAACTCTACCACTGCTTCGGGGCAATAAATAAGCCAGATTGAGATGAAGCAGCGCAAGAAATTCAGTTACCTTGTGGTCAGATAATATGTAAGTCCAGCCAACGGATCGGGGTTTCATACATATATTATCAAGGAAACCCTGAGCTCAACCTACAGTATATTAGTTTTGGTAAAATTTTCATACTTAGACCAATTTTTACCTATGATACATAATTTTAACTATTGTCAATTCCTGATAATACACATTCTGTGAAAACCATTGTCAAATTACTGTTCATTATAAAGCCTGCTGACAGATAGACAGTGGAAGCAAATTAACGGGACCCCTTTGGCACCCTTGGTGGTGTATTATTGGCATGTCTGATGGAGGATTAAGAAACCCCACAACTTTTGTCCGCGAAAATGATACCCTGTGCTAATTTCAACACCCTTTCATAGGCTTTTATTGGCAAAACACGTGTCAGATTAAGTGACTTAATTCCTCCTTTTTATCCGACTTAAAAAACGAGGATGTTCTCTCATTTTGTATAGACATTTGAAGACCTTTCATAGAGCTCATAAGCCGTTCTAATCCAATAGTTAGTACTGGAATAAATCTTCACCTAAACACTAAATTGGTTTCCCACTAACAAATCAGTATAATAATGCCCTAGAATGTAAATGGGCATGGTGTAAACGTCTTGTTAAAATAGCGTCGGGTCACGAAACTCGCCAAATACAGAGCTGATATCAATTACGCTACGGGAACTGGCTGTAAGTCAATGGTTGGGCAACCATTGGTATTTGCAAGTACTGGATTTGCCTTCTAGATGGTACTTGACAAAGTAGTTAGTTTTGGTCATCCATGTTTGCAACTATACCGCTGAGCTAGTGTTAACCTGTCAAATCTATTACATATTTTACGCTGTTAGTCAGTTATAGTGGTAAGAAGTTCCTACTACTGTTTCTACTAGGAACAGTCATCCAATAAGAAAAATGAGTTGGGTGTGGGTGTAAGTCTCACAATATGTTTAACTCTCTCAAGTGACAAACCTATGTTTGTGTTGTTTACAAGAATACATACATTTAGTGACATCCACAGTAAACAAGAACTTCGTGATTTTCTTTGAATTAGTCTATGATTTCTGAAAAAGATATGAAAGTTACAGCTTTATTCCTGGATTATTCTATTCTTTTCAACACTGGCAAGCGTCTCAGTATCTGTAATCTTTTTGTATTTCTAAAAAGAAATGAAAGAAACCACGAAGCACACTATTCAGTTATACAGTCATTAGTAAAGTAAGAAGAAAAGGGTGGAAAAATATCCGTGAGAAAAAGTAAAACGTTTTAGAAGCTTTAGTGGGGTTGGCGGGGTGTGGCTCATTTGATATCCCTTTCATTCTTTAGATCAGAGATTCCCAAACTTATTTTGTCTATTGCCCAATTAGATAAAAAATACTTTTTTTATTTTGTTTTGTAGTTCCATTTAATTTTTAGTCGAGAGTCGAGAGCTCAGCTGAGCCGTTCATGCTAGAGGTACAGGCTATGTCGAAGAGTCAGTCCTCCTAGTAGATAGAATTACTCTACACAAACGCCTCGTTTTTTTTTGGGTCTTTTGTTTACCCAATTTAGGCATGCAGTACCCACAAGAGGGGCGTTATCACCTACTTTGG